CTCCTCTCCTCCTCTCCTCTCCTCTCCTCTCCTCTCCTCCTCTCCTCTCCTCTCCTCTCCTCTCCTCTCCTCTCCTCTCTTCCCTTCCCTTCCCTTCCCTTCCCTTCCCTTTCCTTTCCTTCCCTTCCCTTCCCTTCCTTTCCCTTCCCTTCCAGTATAGTACAGTACAGTACAGTACAGTATAGTATTAGTATTAGTATTAGTATTAGTATTAGTATTAGTATTAGTATTAGTATTAGTATTAGTATTAGTATTAGTATCTATTCTATTCTGCATTCTGCTATTCTATTCTATTCTATTCTATTCTATTCTATTCTATTCTATTCTATTCTATTCTATTCTATTCTATTCTATTCTATTCCTATTCCTATTCCTATTCCTATTCCTATTCCTAGTCTAGTCTAGTCTAGTCTAGTCTAGTCTAGTCTAGTCTAGTCTAGTCTAGTCTAGCCAAGTCAAGTCTAATTTTCTGTTCTCTGCTATCTTATCTTATCCTACCCTATTTTATTCCATTCTAAACAGAAAACAAATAAAGAAGAAAAAAATAGAAACTTATTATCAATTAAGTAGATACCATTTCAGTTTCTAAAGACAGTATTAAATGTTACTTAATCTTTTCATTACACTGATAGTGTCAGCTAAAAGCAGAGAGCAAAGATTTAAATTCAAGACCTTAATCCTGTTTAACCCTCATTAGAATATCTATTTTCAACCAGCTGAGAGAAGTACTAGGTAGTATCCCATGGATAGATACTTTTGCTGCCTTGAGGTATTTACAAAAATAATAAAGGTGGAATATAAATAAGTGAGTGAAATAAAAAAAAAGTAACAAAGAGAAATCTTCAGGTTAATGTGAACACAGAAGAGTTGGAAACATCTCAAAAATGAGCTTTGGAACTAAGAGGGGTAAGGAGGAAGTGAAGAATGAAAGAGCATGGAGTACTGGAAAGAATTGCTCATGTTATCTGACCCAAAGTCTCTCTACAAATACTTAAAATGTAGAGTACCAACAGAAAGAGGCCAACACCTTAAGGCAAATATGAATTAGTAAGCATTTTAATGCTGGAATCCTCCCAGAGTCATTCGCCACCAGATGAGCTGCAAATCAATTCAATAAATACAAATAAATAAATTGTAGAAACCCGATGGGTAGAAATTCTTGAAGTAGTGAGAACTTTGGAAGATGTGACCATTTACAGAGAAAAAGGTTGTGTCAGGCCTGGAAGCCATTTTTGGAATTAGGCCTTCAGACCTGCCACGTTTACTACTGTGTGAAACTGGGAGGGGGGATTGTATGGAGCATGGGTGATGTATAGTCATAATAGCATTCCTTTCTCAAGAAGCCAAGGCCAACTTGCCCTGCACCTGGAATGCTGGAACTGGGAGGCATCTCCAGTGGGTACGATGCTTGATTGGACCATGTGATGGACATATGAGTGTTGGGCAGGGACTTGAACTTTCCTCTGGGTGGGGAAAACCTGGAAACTTTCAGATTCGGGTTTTCCCAGATGTGCCAATATGACATCTCTAATAAAATGGGACTTTGAGGAACTTCAAGCCTTGGAGTCTTCTTTCATTGGGGGTGTTACTTGGAACCCTGACAGATTGTACATAAGATCTCATGGTGGCCCATTTAAAAAAAAAAAACTTACAGAAATTCCAGATGGTAATCCTCAGGTCAAATAGAATGAAAGAATTGGTCAAAAATTTGGCCAGAAATGATCTTCAAAGCCAATTCCAACAATTACATTCTACGGTTCTTTTTCTAACAGAATGACCTGCAGTGATGCATGGGTTGGCCAGAATGTGTGTCTTTGTGTGCGTTTGTGTGTAAATACATAAACAAACTCAACTCAAGGTCCTCTTCTTAGGCTTGTCAAGTTATTAGCCTTGGGTGTTTTGCAATTTTGCTGCAGTTTTGCAATGGGTAATATTGGTTATATGTTGCGTTGCCGCTTATTGATAATAGGAATCAAGCTTTGTTCTAAGCCAAGAGTCTCCAAACTTGGCAATGTGTAGACTTGTAAACTTCAACCCCCAGAGTTGCTGGTTGGAGAATTCTGGGAGTTGACATGCACAAGTCTTAACGTTGCCAAGTTTGGAGACTTCTGTTCTAAGCTGTGATTCCCTGTTGAAGCAAGAATAGAGAAAGTCTGTTAGGAATATGACTATTACCTAACTTGTTGGGTTGGCAATATATAAACCATCAATATATGTTTGCAGTGCATTGTATTGTATTGTATAACTTTAAGACTGCTGTATTGCATCATACTGTGTCCTGATTGGTTAGCTCTGTTGCCAATCTCCTTAAGAGGGAGCTAGAAACATGGCTTGTTCTCTTTGTTGTTCTTGCTCTCTCATATCTCTATCTGACTTACTGTATTACTGTTTGCAACTCCAGAAGAACTGTTTACTGTGTATGATTAATACGACTGGTATGAAGACTTTGTTTATTGGACTGGGCTTTATTTTTCCTGAATGTAAACTATAACTACTCTCAACCACTTTCATGCGCACACCCTTGCTACTCAAGGGTTATTCCTTAACAAAGTCCATTGATTCTTATTGTAACCACAGCTGGAGTTAGGTATAAGATCAGCAAGCTTAAAGTCCTTGTAATCTAGGCAAGAAAAACAAAATGCACTGGTATAGTATATATGGTACCTTGCTCAATAGTAGTAATCGTGAGAGGGATCTTGGAATCCTAGTGGACAACCATTTAAAAATGAGCCAGCCGTGTGCAGCAGCTGCCAAAAAAGCCAACACAGTTCTAGGCTGCATAAACAGAGGGATAGAATCAAGATCCTGTGAAGGGTTAATACCACTTTATAATGCCTTGGTAAGGCCACACGTGGAGTATTGTGTCCAGTTTTGGTCGCCACGATGTAAAAAAGATGTTGAGACTCTAGAAAGAGTTCAGAGAAGAGCAAGAAAGATGATTAGGGGACTGGAGGCTAAAACATATGAAGAACGGTTGCAGGAACTGGGTATGTCTAGTTTAATGAAGAGAAAGACTAGGGGTGACATGATAGCAATGTTCCAATATCTCAGGGGCTGCCATAAAGAAGAGGGAGTCAAGCTCTTCTCCAAAGTATCTAAGGGCAGGACAAGAAGCAATGGGTGGAAACTAATCAAGAGAGAAGCAAATTAGAACTAAGGAGAAATTTCCTGGCAGTGAGAACAATTAACCAGTGGAACAACTTGCCTCCAGAAGTTGTGAATGCTCCAACACTGGAAGTTTTTAAGATGTTGGATAACCATTTGTCTGAATTGGTATAGGGTTTCCTGCCTAAGCAAGGGGTTGGGCTAGAAGACCTCCAAGGCCCCTTCCAACTCTGTTATTCTATTCTATCTGAAGGTGACCAAACCACCTTTTGGTTGTTGATGTTCCAGTTTTAGGATAATTTCATCTAAGAACGTTTCCATAAATTAAGTCTTCCTGAATGACTCCCACGAACCCACTTGGCACAAACACTTGACCTTCATAAAGTCTGTTCAAGGGAATTGCATGTTGTCCCACTGAGGGGCTTCACGCTGTGACTTGCCAGGCCAGACTGTCCTTGTGGTGCAATTTACCTCATGTTGCCTCAGAGCCCACATAGATTGAAGCAACCTGACTGTTACGTTGTTTAGAAGTGGGAGGCAGGATTTATTTGCAAGGCAACTTCAAAGAGACCGTTTTTGTCTGGAAGCATGACAAACGGCAATAAATAAGTAGCACAGCAGCTGGCCCCAACATGACAGATAACCTCTGATTCCTGTTCTCGAATAACATTCCCCAGAAACGAGTCCCTGTATAAACATTTTGTTCCTATATCAAAGAGAGGGCGTTAGTGTACATAACCTAAGGCTTCTTTAATAGAGGGATAGATTCAAGATCATGTGAAACATTAATACTGCTTTACGAAGCCTTAGTAGGACCACACTTGGAATACCGCATCCAATTTTGGTCGCTGTGAGTGGGATCGTGGAGTCCTAGTGGACAATCACTTAAATATTGTTGTGACCCAGGCCCTAGTAGGTATTATCAGATGGAATCAGTTCGAAATAGATTTTATTAGAACAGCTGAGAATTAACTCATTTTCAGCGTAGTCCAAACTAATTCAAAATAAATTCTTCATAACACAATTCGTCAGCCTTATGACCAACCTTGGTCTAATTATGCAACCCGCCAAAGGCTTTTCTTGGCAAAAGTTCAGGAGCAGAAGACGCCAATAAGAAATAAATGCAGCAAGACAAGAAACAAATCTATCAACGTTGTTTTCCGACAAAGAGCCCAAGAGCCGTTGCTGGTCTTTTAAGCCTCATGGGAGGGGCCAATCATCTCTTGGCCTTACTCCCAAGTCGTCCTTTTTGCTTTAGCTGCTCTTGCCTTCTGGCAGCTCTTCTCATGCGTGTACTAGGAACAGGCTCCTCTTGTTCCTCTGCCTCTCTGCTCAACCTCTGGAGGCTCCAGAGTCCGCACATCACTCCCAGATGGCCCTGGCCCCATCTCTGCCTCCAACACAGAGCCCTCATCCGGGCCTTCCCCAGCCTCCAGGACTGGCCCATGTTCTTCCTCAGCCTTCTCACTGTCCGACTTTGCTGCCAGCTCCACAGGCTGTTGGCGGACCACAACAAATATGAGCCAGCCATGTGTGCTGCAGCTGCCAAAAAAGACATGCTCAACTCCTCATGATCCCATGAACCAGGCCTCCCTGACCTTCACTGGAGTCTCCTCAAACTCAGGCCAACTGCATCGATGATGCTATCTAGTCATCTCCTCCAGTGGTGGGTTTCACATTATGTTACTACCAGTTCACGCACGCACCTGCCTTCCACACATGCACCCAGCCTTCTGTGCATGCATTTTGCTTGTGCGCATGCCTTTTGCACATGCACCCGGCCTCAAAAATATGCCTAAATAGGATGGCATAGAGCCAGGGTGGCCCGCAATTTCAGCTGCCGGTGATTTCAGCTACCGGTTTGTGTGAATCGGTCTGAACCAGCTGAATACTACCTCTGATCTCCTCCTTTTGCCGTCCTCTTCTCATTTCGCCTTCCGTCTCTCCCAACATCAGGGTCTTCTCCAAGGAGTCCTCTTCTTCTCATTGGGTGGCTGAAGTATTTGAGCTTCAGCTTCAGGATGTGTTCTTCCAATGAGCAGTCAGGGTTCAATTTCCTTTAGTTGAGAGCTCCCTGCAAATAAAAGAGAAACAGACTAAAGTCTGAAAGAAAGAAAACAAAAAAAACAAAAACTGTTCAGTACCAAATGACTCATCTATCTGGAATCTCCAGGAGGGAGACAAACTGATCTCCTACAGTGTGAGCTGGGAGGCTAAGAAAACATTCTGAAAAGAGACTGTGAACAAGAAAGCAGATTAGAGAGAAGGGAAGAAAACTCTACAGCATTAAAAGAGCAGAGACAGAGATAAAAGCAGAGACTGCATTAAACTAATATTTTATTAGTTTTTTACAGTTCCTTTTGCAGATACATGATAGATGACAGATAGATGATAGATAGAGATTGAGATGGATAGAGAGATAGATAGATAGACAGACAGACAGACAGACAGACAGACAGACAGACAGACAGACACTTATAGAAGAGAATATTTGTAGTTTGTACCATAGAATCCTTGGTGGTATCTAAGCTTGGTTGTTTTCTTGCAAACATTTCTTTACTATCTTCAGTGCTAGAAGGGAGCGGGGTTTGCTCTCCCCCCTTTGTCAGTATTGATGGGAGTATTCTCACCCCACTCCCCTCTAGCACCGATGATCAGAGGTGGGTTTCAGCAGGTTCTGACCAGTTCTGGAGAACCGGTAGCGGAAATTTTGAGTAGTTCGGAGAACCGGTAAATACCACCTCTGACTGGCCCCACCCCTATCTATTCTCTGCCTCCTGAGTCCCAGCTGATGGGGAGGAAATGGGGATTTTGCAGTAACCTTCCCCTGGAGTGGGGAGGGAATGGAGATTTTACAGGACCCTTCCCCTGGAGTGGGGTGGGAATGAAGATTTTACAGTATCCTTCCACTGCCACGTCCACCAAGCCACGCCCACCAAGTCATGCCACGCCCACCAAGCCACACCCACAGAACCAGTAGTAAAAAAAATTGAAACCCACCACTGCCAATGATGTTACCCAGTTTGGTGATGAAACCAACCAAGCTCAGAGAACACCAAAGACGAGAGAGTGGTGGGAGAGAGGGAGTGGGAGAGAGGGAGTGGGAGAGAGAGAGAAGGAGAGAGAGAAAGAGGCAGAGGGAGGGAGGGAGGGAGGGAGGGAGGGAGGAAGGAAGGAAGGAAGGAAGGAAGGAAGGAAGGAAGGAAAGAAGGAAGGAAGGAAGGAAGGAAGGAACAAACAAACGAAGGAAGGAAGGAAGGGATGGATGGATGGATGGATGGATGGATGGATGTGAAGTTGGATAGTTGGATAGGTAGACAGGTTTTAGCTATTTACCTATCCAACTGTTATAGGAAACAGGCTTTGGTGTAATATGAATTAGGTGTAGGAGTAGCATTAAGACTTTATATTAGCAAAGGGTATTTCTGTATCCCTGTAAAGCAATAAAACCTGTTGAGGTTGCATCCTGTACCTTTAGGTCGGTCTTGCCTGTACTGAACCATCAGAAACAAACCTGTGGTCCTTCCTGCTAATCACCATTAAGGGAATCAGCGGGAAAAATCTACGTGTGTGTGTGTGTGTGAAATTTGCCCTTGATCTCTTCTAACATTTCCTTCTCTCCGTGCTGAGCGAAACCCCCAGGTAGCTCTTTTCGCTGCTTTCATTTTAAGCTATTCAACATCTTCTGCCCTGGAACGGAATGAGCTTCACAATTAAAATCGTGAAATCAATGCTGCATCTATTGTCCTGTCTTCAGAAGAAAGGCTTTAATTACAAGAGTCTTTAGATAACACAATCATTCCACCCTCTTAATCTCAGATATGAAATCCGTCCCTTTTGAGTGCAAAGCAAACCCTTTTCTCTCTTTCTCTTCCTCCTCCTCCTCCTCTTCGTCTTCTTCCCCCCCTCCTCTTTTAAATGAATGGCTTTTTATCTGAGTACTTCAATTTGTATGGCTTTGCTTCAAGGCAGTTCCCCCTGATATGTTAATTGCAGAGTGCTTTAAGTACTAGAAGATTAACATAAAACCCTTTGCAAACAAGCTAATAGTTTATGATAATTTTTGCATGGTCTTTGTATGTCTATCACGGCGTTGCCTCTAGCTGTAATTTTATAAAGAAGCTGTAAAATATCATTTAAACAAGTTCATTTACACATAATTATTATAGCAGAATCACATTATTCAATTTAGATACCCCAGCCTATTAACAATCCATGAACTAAAATGTAATTAAACTATTTTCCTTTTATGAACCTATTCATTACATTGTGTGGGGGATAGATCATACAGATTCAGTAAGACTTTTGGTACTTTGTTGTTGAAATTGACAAGTCTGGAACTTATTTTGTGCTTTTAATTATATTAAAAGTAATTCCAGACAGCTCAGATAAAGAATATATTTAGAAAAGGAAGGCTTAGAGATGCCAACAATGGTGCCATCCAGAAATGTATATTTATTTCTCTCCCACACAGTTCCTGCGCATTGAACTATGGAAAATATATGATCAGAAGTATTCTTATCCTTGAAAATATGATTGGCTTTCTAAGCAAATTTCTCTCCCCCTCTTTAAATATAATTTAAAGTTAAATCATCTTACAATAACGTTCTTTATTATCATACATTTTCTGTATTAACAATAAATGGAATTTCTGAAGGCATATAATTATATATCGCAGGTATATTATACATTTAGATATGCTCCATAAAAGTAGACAGAAAGTGAATGTATCGTTCATTGAAAGTTAAATTGTAAAATGTGTGGTTTGGTTGCATAAATGGTTTCTTTTTACTGTATTGTGGGAAAAAGAAACGCATCAGAATCCAATCTTTTGTCCGCCTCTCAAAGCTTTAGAGAAGTGGGAGAAGGCATTAAGTTAAAAGGAAATGAAAGGTTTAAGTTCATTTACAATAGGCTTTATACTTTCAGTAGCAATAGCAATAGCGTTTAGACTTATATACCGCTTCATAGGACTTTACAGCACTTTCTGAGTGGTTTACAGAGTCAGCATCTTGCCCCCAACAATCTGGGTCAGAAGGATGGAAGGCTGAGTCAACCTTGAGCTGGTCAGGATCGAACTCCTGGCAGTGAACAGAATTGTCCTGCAATACTGCGCCACCACAGCTCAATCTTCTTAAATATCTGGCTATACATACTATGATCTTCCAAAGTTTATGTCAGTGGATATTTTGTCATTTAAGCTTCATCTGTTAGTGATTTTCTCTTCAAAAATGCCCACCTTTTTTTGGCTGTTTGGAAACCAAGGAATAAAGCTGAACATCCCATGGATTGGGCTATTGGGTTTTGATTTTTTTCCACCTTCCTTGAAAAGGTCATTGTTATAATTTGTGATGCTATGTTGGAAAACTCCCAGCTAGATGGGAAGGAGGAGTCAAGTGGGGAACTAGCCTTGAATCCATTCACAGCAGCAAAAGACATAAACCTGACTCTCACCTCTAAGTTCCATGAAAGCATATCTGGTTGTGCCCAGAGGAATGTAAACGAGGTTCTTGTAATAGGTAGAGCACAATAACTTTGTTGACTTGGATTTTTCATGAGTGGATCTGGTGTTTGCATTTGACATGCTATGAGCAGAGGTGGGATTCACTTACCTTCCCTACCAGTTTGCAAATGTGAGTGCATGTGCGCACGGCCTTCTGTGCATGTGCAGTGCTCCCGCATTACGTTCAGAGCCTCCCGCAGTCGCCGGTACTGGTTCTCCCAATCTGGAGAGAACCGGCTGATTCCCACCACTGGCTATGAGGTACTGCCAATCATAAATTCGTCGAATGGGCCTTGAGTCGCTCATAGGCAAAACTGAAACACTTTCTGTGTTCCCTCTTCTGAAATTCAGGATATTCTTGTCCTCAAAGAGGCTCACCCTAGAAAGAGAAGTGGTCAAAGAATCAAGCCAATTTGATATGTCAGAATTCACTTCTTCATAGAAAATATCTGTCTGAAAGAGTAAGGTAAAGGTTCCCTGCACATATGTGCTAGTTGTTTCCGGCTCTAGGGGCCGGTACTCATCTCCGTTTTTAAGCCGAGGAACAGCGCTGTCTGCTTAAATGTCTCTGTGGTCATGTGGCCGGCATGACTAAATGCCAAAGGCACACGGAATGCTGTTATCTTCCCACCAAAGGTAGTCCCTATTTTTCTACTTGCATTTTTTATGTGCTTTCGAACTGCTAGGTTGGCAGAAGCTGGGTCAAGTAACAGGAGCTCACTCCATTTCACGGCACTAGGGATTTGAACCGCTGAACTGCCGACCTTCTGATCGACAAGCTCAGAGTCTTAGCCACTGAGCAAGAACCCAAGCGAGTGGTCAGACAAGGAGACCCAAACTCACTGGTAGTCTCACACAACAAGGACACACATTCAATTTTGCATCTATTAAGATTGTTGGACGAGCAGGCACAAAAACAGCCAGCTACTAAGATTGTTGGATGAGCAGGCACAGAAAAAGTCAGGGAAGTGATTGAAGCCTGAGAAATGGGGCCTTTGTCAGTCAACCAGAGTGCTGATTTACCACCAGCTTATCAAGTACTTAGAAGGCGAAGGCTGGGCAGCACAAGCAAATGACAACCAACAACTTAAAAGCCAGCCATCAACACACCCCAATCAACATCTGAAAAGCCACATACAACAGGCACCGTATCAATACCACACACAAAACAGCACACACTCTGCTAGAGAGAAGTTCCCTGAAGATGGGTTCCAGCACGAGTCTGAAAGCTTGGAAGGCAAAACTTCTTGTCCCTGTGACCGACCCAGATTGGATCCTGCAACATTATCCTGGGACTATATTCATTATAGTCCCAGGATAAGAGGGATGCGGTGGCTCAGTGGCTAAGATGCTGAGCTTGTCGATCAAAAGGTTGGCAGTTCAGCGGTTCGAATCCCTAATGCCATGTAACCGGGTGAGCTCCCTTGACTTGTCCCAGCTTCTGCCAACCTACTATTTATTTATTTATTTATTAGTTCGATTTATATGCCGCCCTTCTCCGGAGACTCAGGGCGGCTTACAATGCATTAAGCAATAGCCTTCATACTTTTGTATATACCTGCTTAATAGGGCTTTTTGCCCTCCCCCCCAGCGCTGTTC